CCGCTGTCCTTTACTTCACAGTTTTTACTGTGCAAGCACACTACCAGCGGAAGAGTAATATATACCGGCTGCGAAAATAGAAAACTACCCTTGCTGGTAGCTACCCAGTGCCATCGGAGCTCTGCATCATTTTTTATGTAACTGCCTGCGGATAGTGACAATTTCGTTGGTGCTCCAATATGTCCTTGCTCGGCTCAACGCAGTGACGCCACATATGCGTCTCATTCACTGCAGGCGTCTAAATATCGCAGATCCGGGCCCGTTTAATTGGTTCCCTAGGCAGCTAGAAGCAATGGGACGGTGCGATGTTGCGGTATGACCCGGTGTAAAGACTGTCATCTGTCTTACATTACTGCAGTATTGCTGTAAAGTAAATGACGTTATATTTTTTCGCCGCGTGAATCTTGTCAGAAGCCGAAACGTAATATTTTCCGGCGGCAGATTCAGAACGCTGCCATTTTTGGTAGCCACCTCATGCCATCGGGAATATATATTATTTTTTTCAAAACTTGGCATTGCTGAATTTTAATGCAGCGTATGGCCTGCTTCTACTAAAAAGTGATTATGTTTCAGAATACTGCGACAGATAAAGGTGAAAAATTGTTTAGATTTCAATTTGGCAGGACATGGTGAGAAAGAAATTCCAACGTTAATACCATTTCTGAATAATGATACATCATGAGTATTCCGATTGAATCACATCCAGTATCAATGAGTTCTCTTATGCTGCATGTGAAGTGCCCTCGAACTTCTCAGTAACGAGCCATACATTTTACTCGTACCAAAAGTTTATTGAAAATACATTGAAAGATACACCAGGCGACCTAACTTAACCGGTTAAATGGCATTGCATTAAACACATACTGCACTGAAGTTTCACCAGGTGCAGTATAAATCCGTCATTTCTATCATAGCCCACTTAAGTAGCATGTTTTGTCTGTACCAGAGTTTCTAAGGAATCTAATGACGATGTGAAATATGTGGCCACCTCAGTCGACAGAAGTCTTAGTCTCCACTGATTGAAATAGCTTGAGCTCGTCAACCATGAAAGCGCAGTCTGTTCAGATCATGTAAAATTCATGCACGCAGGCGTTGGGAGAGCTTCATGTTGTCTGCCATCTACTAACGATACGTACACTGCCAACAATTCCCTCATAAGAGAAGTACTTCTCTATGCTATGAATGCATCTTCCCGTAATTAATGTACACTGGTTCAGTGATATATGGAGTACCATGCCGCAAAGAGTATAAAGTCTTACTGCTAGCTATTCTATTGATCGCACGGGTAACTAGCATCAGTGATGAAGAGCTGATGGAATGGACGGTGGTCCAAGGTATCAAATCGACTTGGCATCTCGATCCGTCACTGTTCGACAAACCAGATCACTCAATGCACTTAAATGTCTTAAGGTTCGGTCTCCGTATGCCGGCAATAAGGAAAGCTACCTAGTGCTAACGGCTTTAGCCGAATTATACTCTCTTTCAGCTGTCCCCCCCTTTCCCGTTGCGAGTCGTGCGACAGCTAGAAGTGCAGTGAAATATCCTTTCCAGAAACTTATGGGAAGAGAGCATAGACATTGGTTAACGAGCAATATGTCTGAAAGCTAAACTAGCACAGTATTAAACTTT